CAGCTTTGTTTTCATTCCCGTTTTTAGTATTTTTAAGCAATTACGAAAAGTGCCTTTAAAATAAATAAGAGGCAGAGGGCACCATGGCTGAGGGCCAGGCGGTTGCTGCCAAGAAACTGGTGGAAAGACTGCGAGAAACCGTTTGGCCACACCCCACTCCGCCCTTCCGCCAATGACGTTGACTGCAACAGCCCGCCCCAGCCATCTTTAGCCCACTGCCTTCAAAAAGGTGGTCCCTATCCAGATTCTCAACAAACCTTGGAATATCTACAGCATTGTTCAAGATTTCGCTGTCGAGGGATAGCTGCTTGCTGAAATAAGGGCTGTATCAGATTTGAAAGAGCAAACAGAGCAAGCGAACGCAGGAAACTTACCACGGGCCCATTTCCATCAAAGACAAATTCATCAATCGAGTGAGGGCTTTTTCGTCAAGACCAGGCTCAGGCATGTTATCAATAGATTTTAGCTCGGCCTCTTCTTAAGAAAAGCAATGTATAAGAATAACTCTTAATTTTTCTCGAAACCATTTGAAGATTCTTGCAAGAAAGCGAACCTAGCCCTGGCGAAACTGCTGGTAATATGTCTGGCGGCGTCGCGTTCACGATATTCTCCCAGTCGACTCCATTGAAGAATTCGTGGGATTTGAGGGCTGCTAAATCTCGTGACCCAAGTCGAACCATTGGATCCAATACCTATACAAAGCCTTGATGAACATGCAAATTCATATTTCAAAAAGTACTTTCAGGGAACATTAGGCATCAAAAGAAGTTGAATTAGAGGGGCGGAGCAGGAGACTTGAATTGCGGGTGTGGCCCTCGTACCACCACCTAATCAATTTGGCACGAGGAATCACGCCATCCCAGCGCGAATCTCCTGACCCACACCAGTAAATGTAGCAGTATCCTTTTAGGAACTCTCAACTGAACATCACTATCACTAAACAAACGATTACAAGGAAACGTAAGAGGACTGATATCTCACCAGTAGCTTCGAGACGAAGTCTTTGGGAACATCAGGAAATCCTGCAGGGAATGAAAAGTCAAGCTTCTGAATCTTATTCATCAGATGAAAGTCATTCACAGCCCGAAATGGAGCTTGTCCTGAGATCATTTGAAAGACTGTAGCACCGAGCGCCCAATAGTCACATCTGTAACATATTCATATTGTACCATATTTCAAGATCAAACAGGTTGATGAGAAACAAGCTGATAAAGACCCTGAAGAATCAGTGATAATTAAAAAGTGAAATAATATAATAACATTCGTAGATCGTGCCGGATGTGTGATTTTCAAAGTCAGGAACGTATTTCGCGATAATTTGATCGACCAGTAATGGGCTAAACCTTCACAACCAATATGCTTTTCTGGATAGTGCCCCCTCCCTCAGGCACAACAAAGGAGCGAGATCCGTCAAGGAGAAGGCCAAATGACGAGAAATGACAGAGTCTCCGCCCACTCCATAATAGGGGTATACGCTTCAAGATTAGTCAGGTAAAAATTAGATACTATGCTTCAGACTTGTCAGCGATTTCAGAATG